GCAGGAAGCAGCTGATCGATGTTTCTAACTCTCTATCCCTCTCCCTTCCTTTCTGTAAAAAATCAATAAAATATATATTTTTTAAAAAAAGATGTTTGGAGTAAAGAAAAAGCAGGGTAGGCAGATTATTGGAGCACATTATATGATTTTCACATGAGAGAAAACAGATATGTGAAATACATTTGTTTCTTAGCCCTCTGCGGGAGTAATCTCCATATTGAAAGTTTTATAGCCATCATGCTAAGAGGGAATTAAATTTAAGTATAATGAGCTCAGAATAAGAAAGTACTCTAATAGTGCATTAAATTTGTTGAGACCTTTAAAGCCTCTCATAGGACTAGATATTGAGGAACTTAACCAGATGACTGTGAGAGGCAGTGCCGTCAGTAATCCAGAGGTATTGTGGAGAAGAGAGGTTTTAGGAAACTGCAGGTGGGAAAATATTGCCTTATATTTTCCAAAGGGGAAAGAGAACGTTTGGTTCTGGAAACTTGATATCGATGCACTGTTAAGATTCTAGGAAGGATCACTTATACATACAGAAGAAGTAACAGCCACTATATGCCAGCATAGGTCTATGAAAAGGAGTCAAGCCAAACTAAGTGACTAAGAAAAGACATGAGCTTTACACTAGTGGGCCAGAAGACCGTGTGATACCTAATGCATCTCGATGCAGCAGGATATCTGAGTAGTCTTCAGATCCCTGAGGACAGGTAAAGAAATGCAGTCAGTGATAGTGCAGTTAGATGAAGTTAATGAGTGGAGTAATAGCAGCCTCTCAAGGATTACACTTAGCTATAATGCACTATATTTGACCTCATATTTGTTCACATTAACAGTAGACACAGAGATAGCAATCTTACTAATCCAATTTTCAACACACAGAAAAATGGGCAGGGATGGTTATATACACCAATTGGCAAAATTATCAAAAGAGCAAAACCTGCTTGACCTGCACCTAAACCAACAATAAATGTAAACATGGTATTGTATGCTGAGTTCAACTGAAAAAATAAAAAATGAGAAATATTGGGCTTCATAGTAATTTTGGGGAGAAAAGTTGCAGGGACTTGTGAGCTAACAATATGATATGGTTGCAAAAAAAAAAACCAGTGCCAATGTAATTTTAAATTATATAGTCAAAGGATGATATCCAGACTAAGGGTTGTAATACTTCCCTATTTGGCAATATGAATTATTATAACAGTCTTTTCTGGGAAATACATTGGCAAAATGGAACATATCCAGATGATCAGGAAGTTTAATTTATAAATTTCTTTGATGCTCAGATTCTTTATTTTGCTATGTGTAATGAACTGTAAGGAATAAAATCTCCCATAGCAAGTTTTCAAGGGGCTTACTTGGTGTCATTCCAGTCAAAGAACATAGGAACTGCTACTTGGGTAAAATCTACTCCCCTCAATCGGTTGAGCTTGAATGATGGGTTTAACAGTGGTAATTCTCCTTTCATTGAAAATATATATTGGTTTCTGAATGCCAAATTAAATGTTATATTCTATATTAGTAATTTGTTCATTGGGTGCAGCTCTGCTTCATGTAAATTGTATTTTCCCACTCCCTTTTATAATGGGAATGGATAAAAGGGGTTTTATATGAACACAGGAAAGATTCTCAATTTATTCTATATAATAAAAGGCTAATATGCAAATTGACCGAACAGCAGAAGGACTGTTCACTATGATGTGCACTGACCACCAGGGGACAGATGCTTAATGCAGGAGCTGCCCCCAGGTGATCAGTGCATTCCCACATAGGGAGCGCCACTCAGCCAGAAGCCCTGAGCCAGGTGCAGCAGTGGTGGCTGGAGCCTCTCCTGCCCCCTCGGCAGTGCTAAGGATGTCTGATTGCCAGCTTAGGCCCACTCCCAGTGTCAGTTGGACTGCAAGAGGGCACAGGCCAGGCTGAGGGACACCCCCCCCAAGTGCATGAATTTCATGCACTAGGCCTCTAGCTTAAAAATAAAAATGTGTAGTTTCTTTAAAAAAATGAGTTTTTCCCAACTTTTGAGAAACTATTTCCTATCCCTAAAGAATATTCCCTATTATAGGGAAATTTAATGCAGAATTAAAGGGAGAGAATCTCAAATGACTCTATTTATTGAGACTCTCAGGAGTAAGGGAGTAAAATACAACCTTTAAAAGGGGCAAGATGAGTAACTTCAACATACAAATACACAAGCGTGCACACACATACACACACACGTTACTGTAGATTAATGATAGTACATATGGGTTGCAGGAACTTGCAGCCTAAAAATGTTGTTTTTCATAGTCTGCTGAATTAATGTTATTTGTTAATTAAGACCAAATACAACAAGGCTTTATATCAAACTACAGATGTTAAAGAACATAGCTGGTACAGAAAGAAAGCAAGTAAAATATTCACAGGCATTTCATTTTTTGTTCTGAAATTTACTTTTTTAAGTTATAGAAAAGTCACTATGAAAATTTTTATCCCCTTCTTTTCTTCTGATCCCAAGCACCTGGCCCACATAGCTACCATGAAAATGTTCTGTAAAATTACTTTAGG